AAGTTAAGTACGGCTTTGAGCAAGTTGGTTGAGGAGCGTTGACTCTGAGCTTGAAATTTCGCAGGACACGAGTTCGATTCCTGGTACTTGCAGTGTCAAAAAATTATTTATGAATAATTAAATACAAGAATTATTTCCATGACCACTGATGATGGGTATTTAATAATACTTGAAACAGCTGTATGGTCAGCCAAAAATTCAATTAAATAAAATAATAAAAAAAAACATTTTTGTTGTTGTAGTTCACTAGTTTTCGATGAAAACCACCTTAGAAAATATATTAAAACAAATTTATGTATTTTAATTGAATATAACATTTTATATTTATTTTTTTCTCCGCTGCATTTTTAAAACTTTTTATTCTGCTTTATTATATTTCATATTATTTTTTTTTTTTAAATAAATTTAATATTTAATTTTTCTGTTTAACACTAATAATTTTTATTCTACACTTATTTTGCACTATTAACGCACATGTCATTGAATTGTAATTGATTTGCAAGAAAATATTTATATAATTTCATTTTTAAAATAAATACTTGCATAAAATCGAACTAAAATTTATAAAATAATTTAATAATTTTTTTATTTGTATTGTATATAACATTTGAATTCTTTAATAAACATCTGAATTCATTTTGTATATTTTTTTATAATAAGTTTTTTTTATTATTGTTATTTTTTTTAGCGTACATAAAACATTTTTATTGACAATTTTGTTAAATTATTTAATATTTAAAAATATTTTTTTATTCGTTTGTTTAATTACTTTGTTTTTTTTTTCTTTTCTATGTTTCATGTGGTTGTGTCGTGTTTTATTGTATTTTATTAGTATCTAATTTTTAACGATCAGTTTTGCTCATTAACTAATATTTCAGTGATTGCATTGCAAATTTTTATACTTGCAATCAGTTAGGTTCCTTTAAGTTGAATTATAAAGGTGAGATTACTTAAGTTTACAGTAAGTAATAATTTTTGTTTTTTAATTAAAGTTGCTTTTAGAAAGTGGGCGTGGCTTGTATGATATATATTATATTGAATTTTGTGGCTTAAAGATAGGGACACATTAATTCGAAACTTAACAGTTATTTTTATATAATAAAGTACGTGTTCGTATAATAATTTTGTTAAATATTCAGAAAGATTTTCTTTTGGTATTTTTTTTTAAATTAATTTGTTAGAAAAATAGTTTATTCTCTTTATATTCTTGTTAATATATTCTTTTTTATAATTAGTTTTTGTAAATATATAACAAAATTTTTAACAATTTTTAGGCATGAAACGTTAAACGACTACTTTGAAAACAGAATAAATAATTTATATTTCTACTTCTTTATTCAAACATTTGAAAGTTACTTCAATATAATATTTTTTTAATTTTTTTTAAAGTATTTTAGTAGTGATCATTATAAATAAAATATTTTTATGTATTCATATCAAATTAATATTTCAATATATGACAGAACAAACTGCATTGCAATTTTTTTGTTTAATTTTAAATAAAAATTTTTAATTAAATAAATAAATTGTAAAAAACCATAATTTGATAAAAACAGTAATATACAACACATAATAAATATTTGTTTTTTTTTTATTCAAATTTAAAAAAAATGCTATTTGTGAATTAATTTTTTTCTTATATAGTTTTTCAATGGTTCTTTGACCATTTTAAATATTATACTACTTCATTTTTGATAAAAAAAAAAAAATTAAATACAAAATGCAACATAAATGTCCAACATAATGACTAATCAAATTATCAAATGTTCAACTTAACGAATGATATACTTATATCACCAACTTTGATTTAACGAAATCTACGATAAAATAATTATAAGAGGAAATCTGTCGTTAAAAAAATAGCAACTCATGTTAGACAAAAATGTCGTCGAATTCTTATGCCTTGTTTTCACTGTCATTTTAAATGACAATTATAATTGACTGGTATGTCAAATACGTTTTTGTGACATGATAAGTATGCAAATATGACATCATAAGACTACCCGTTTCCATTATACTGACATTATTTGACAGTGAAAATGACATAGTGTAAACAAGGCATTAGCTTTTGTTAATAAAAACTAAAAAAATTATTTTTATTAAAAAAGTTAACTTAACATAAGCTTATTAATAAACAACAGAAAATTTTCATTACATCGAAATCATGATTTCATAAGACTTATAAAAGAAACGTAGAAGAATTAATAGCGAGCATCAATAATTTTCAAAAAATAATTTCTAAACTACAAAATAGCTATATTTCTTTGTTTAGCATACGTAGTTGATTTATCGAATTTTTCTATTTAACTAATGAGCTGTACATGAAACCTTTAGTTAAATTGAGCAACTATCGCTTAAAATATGACAAACCTCAAAAACTTAAAAAAAAAATATTAATATAATATGAATGTAAAAATTTGTTAGCAATGGTACAAAAAAGATAAAAAAATAAAAATAAAAAAATAACAAAATAAAAATAAAAAAATAGTTTTCGATTAATTTGTTACATATATTTTGAATTTTTTAACAATATACCCATACAATATACTCATATATTATTCTCGGACAAATTTCAGAATGAATACGTATTTACACTCAAATACAAAAATCTAGCTAAAATCTTGCCAGTGTAGAAGCTAGGTTAGTTTTTAGATCAGAAACCTAAAAAAGAAATATACACGATTGCATTTTTTAGGCAAATTTTGTTTACATTCAATTAAAATGCAGAGTTTTAAGATGGTATTTTTATTCATTTAGATATTTTGTATGACTAAAACAATAGCCTACTTTTGGGCGATTTTAAATAGTTTTATTTTTTAATTTAGACCAATTCTTATTACACAAATATATGCCTAGATAAGTGCAGGCTTGACTAGTTATTTCATAATATAAATTATTTATCATCATACCAATTATTAATAGTGATATCCCTCATAATATTTCAGAAAATTTACTGAAATTTGTTAATAATTTTGGAAATAATTTAAATGATTTTTCTTCATATTACCTATTATTTTTTAATGGAAGAAATGCAAAGCAGAATAACATTAAACACAAAATAAAACAAATTTTCAACAGTTATTATGTTGTTATAACTGATAGTTACTAGCCTATAGGTGTACTCATCAAAGCATATAAATTTATCAAATGTACAAATCTATGCGTTTACTTACACTGTTATATAAACGCACTTAGTAAAATATTTGACTAAATTTATCAATCTGCTGTAGATTAGCACTATTTATATCAACTTGTGCTTTTGTTGGAATATAACTCTGTAGATATAAAAAATTTGGTAAAATTTTCGTGTAAATTTATCAAGTTAAGACTATTTTTCATACAAAATTTGACACTTCATTTTCCAAGCAGATAAATATGTTTATAAGGTTTATAAAGAATTTATCATTTTAGTTGAGTAGCCCTTATGACTGTTAACACTGTAATGACTGTAATGATGTAATTAATTTTCAAATTACTTACACCAATATATAACGAAAGTATATTATAAAACGAATTTATAACTTTTTACGTTTATAATAAAATATATTCTATATAAAAAAATATTTAATTCAATTTTATTAATGCTTTTATTTACATATTCAAATTTTATTTATATTTTATGCTGTTTGTGAAATAAGTACAAATTATCATAATACAAAGAAATTTTGAACAAATATTTCAATATAATTTCTTAAACATAAAAAATTGTATAATTCTTTTAAACTTAAAATTAATTAAAACAATAAATTTCTTTAAATATGTATATTAAATCGAAAACTTAAAAAGAAAAAAATTAATATTAAAGAAGAGGAACTTTTTAAATAGAAATTCAAATTACTAATCTAACTAAAGCATAACTAACATATTAAGTTTAAGATGAGAAAATAATATTACACCAAATTATTTCAACTTTTTGATTAAGTTAAGCTATTAGCTATTAATAGTTTTGTAACATTAGACGAATCAATCTAATAAAAATATTAATAAATTTAAGGAACAGAAGGGCATTAATTTTGTTGATTGCTGTGATTTTGGATATATTTTACAGTTAAAGTAGAATACGATGGATGATAACAAATGGATTATAATAAATTAAAGCAAAAGTCTTTAAATTTTATTATTCATTTATCGTTTAATTATTATTACTATTAAAATTTTATTTCCTATTGTAATGAATAATTTTAATTTTATAACTCATAAACAATATATTTTAATTTTTTATTGCATAATTATAATAACTTGTAATTACATTAGATTTACTTTGGTACACGCAAGTTTTAATTGTAGACTTTAATATATAAATAAACACATAAATTATTGAAAACACAGTTCAACATAAATTTATCTTAACTTTATACTTAAAATGGTTCATCATATTTTTAATTTTTTAACAAAATTATAAGCTCAAAGCAAGATTGTTAAGTTGGAACGTAACGAAAGCAACAACATAATGTGTTAAATAATTCAGATTTTCCTATATTAATTGCAACGCAGTGTTCCCATCTGAACAGCTTTCTAGTTTTTATGGTATACTTTAAGGCGGCATTGAACCAAATAAATAGAAGAAGAAGAAGAGTTGATATATTTTCAAGTCATATATTTTTATCGGCCTAAAGCACTTTTTATTAAAATCCTTGTTTAAAAATTTGTTTCATCTAATACAAAATATGCTAAAAATAGGTGTATTCGTATGTGTGTTTATGTGGGGTGTATCTTAATAACGTTTATATAATTAGCATTTTTTGCTTTTGTATTTGTAATGTGCATTTAAGTTTGCTTATTTGTTTGTTTGTTTGTTGTGTTTGATGTTTTATAACACCATTTACATTTACATACAGACACAGTTACTTTTTCATATATTATATGCCTTTATATAAATATTTTGTGATTTATTTAGTTTAATATTAAAATTTATTTGTTTTTATATTTTTTTCTTTTTACAAGTAAAATCTACTCTATATATTAAATATAAAGCATTAAGCGTGTCATGATGCATCATTCTCCACTGTAGCAGAAATATATCCTTTGTAGTATATTCAAAAGCTACAACAGCATTAGCAGCTATATTTAACTCAGCAATAACAATAATAACACCAACAATAATAACGTTCATATAAACTAAAATTAACGGCAACTATGCTGTTGTGGAGGTTGTGGATGTTGTTGTGGAACTTGGTGCATTACTCGCATTGCACTGTATGAGGCCACTGTTTTGCGTATGTTGCTGCTGTAGTAAATGGTGCTGATGATGTGCATTATGATGATGATGATGCAGATGATGGTGATGATGATTATTGTTGTTATTTGTAAAATTAAAATGTAAAGCGCCCGCGCCGCCATTATTACTATTTGTGGTCGCTTCTGTTGTATTGCAGGAGCTTGATGAAGGAACCGCCGATGTGCAATATCGTGTAGTATCACCGAATTCACCGCTTGTTAAATCGCCTAATATACCACCGATAAGGCCACCACCACCGCCGAAAACAGCGGCAGTTGTTGTGGATTTTGTTGCTGCTTCAGGTTGTGTGCAAATAGGTGGCGCTGCAGCATCGCCATCAATAATTGTTGCATTATTTGTACCAACAGCAGTTGTAGTTGCTGAGGTGTTTTGCATTAAATTGACATCTTCTTTTGAACCACCACCATCGCTGTTACTATTTGTTATATACTGTGTATTGGTGATTGTAGTTGCATGGTTTTGGTTTTGTAGTTGTTGCGTTGTGTTATTGCAGTGTGTTGTCGAACTATTGGACACGCTATCCGTATCCGTTTGACTGTCGTCTGTTAGGCGTAACGCCACTTCTAAATCTCTTAAAACATCTGTTTCTTTCTCATCGATTAAATTAAATCGCCGATGCAGCGCTGTCAGATGCGCAAATGTCAAATTTAAGTGGGTATGCAGTCCTAGCAACGCAATTTCTCTGAAATGCGCCGCATACAGATGAGCTATCACATGAAATTGCAAGCGTAGAATTTTTCGGGCAATCGATTCAAACGAACTGGGAAATTCGTTGGCATATTTGGTTGGAAATATCGACTCGTCACTGACCGTTTTCTGTGTAAATGTCATTACGTAGTCGATATATTGTGGAGCGGCCACACGCGTCTTTTTGCCTTTTTCATCGAACCATAAGTACGTTCTAGCAATTAAAAACAAAAATGATGAGAGAGTTTTAAATAAAAATTAAACAAAATAAATATGTAATTCAATCGTATTTACCTGTTGCCTGGTCCTGTCATATCTGGACAACCAGGTGGCGTACAAAATTCACTAATAGTTCCATATACCAAATTAACATGTTCAAATAGGGCAAGAGCTATAAATATATAAAATATATTAATACAACACAATAAAAAATATCTATACAAATAAAAATAAAAAACAATTAAATATTTGAAATAATTTTAAAATTGGCTGCCTATTTATTATTATTTCATTTTTCACTTTTAAAAAAAAAATGATTTTATTTAAACATATATTAATTAAAAAGCTATAAAAATTACATAATTTATACATACTTAGTTAAAATATGTAGAAATAAAATCAAATTAAGTAAAGTATTATGATAATTCACAAAAATTTTCTATTATATCATTTTATTGTCAATTTAGCATTAGACTATTAGATCATCAATAAGATTGGTTTTAAAACTTAGAACTTTAAAACTTAGCACTATATGCCGAATTAAAGCTAACTATCAACCAAGTTATTGTTTTTTTTTTTTTTAAATCTAACAATAAAGAGAAAATACTTTTAATACTTATGTAAGAAATTACTTAATATATATATATTTATATATACACATATATGTAAAAATAACTTACTATGTGAAGCTAGCCATTCATTATAATCTAAGCCAGCTGGAAGATCAACTAAGGCTTTGAGATCTGCTTCAGGTAGTTTACGTTCTAGAACGCTCTCCTCCAAATATAATTTGGTATCTGTTGAGTTTTGATCACCATCACGCTCTTTGCGACGAGCTTTTCTGTAAAAAAAATATATACCAAATTAAATAAATGAAATCGATACATTATATCAATTAGTGGTTAAAAAATAATTGTTAAAGTAAACTTAATTTTTAAGTTATATTTCAAGCATTATGCTAACAAAAGAATTTCAGTAATAAATATTTATGATCTTTTAAGAATTAATATTCTTACAAGGATTTTGTAATAAAATTTATAATATATAATTTATTAATTTTTTATAGTAATATAATTATTTTATTTTATTTTTATAATTCACTTCTGCTCGAAACCTCTCTACCAAATATTTATATATATTTACTTATTTATGAGTTATATATACATACATATGTATACAGGTGTTCATTTTTATATTTAATTTTTAATTGATTAATATAATTTTGATTAATTTATATTTACTAAGTAATTTATTTTATACTTTTTATTTACTTTCCGATTTGTTTGTTTTTTTTTTTTTTTGGTTGTTAACCAGTAGCAGATTTTGTTATATTCTAATATTTTAAGATAAATTTTTAATATATATTATTTTAATATATTTATTTTGTATATTTAGTATTTATTTAATTTATGTAAAAATCCTTTTAGTATTATTCTTACTATTTTTTTAATTTTTTTTTTAATGCATTTAATTATTGGTTTCTTAAACAAGTTATATTAATATTTGTATTTTACTTATTAATATTTCTAAAAATATAACATTTTTGATTTATACTTCACACTATCTTATTTTTATGATTTTTTTTATTTATAATAAAATTATAAAAGATTTGTATTATCTGAACTTGCATATTTATTCTATTATGTTGTATTATTATTATTATTATTATTATTATTATTATTAAATAAAATTTGATTTATTTTAATATTTTAACTTATATTATATATATTGTTGAAGATCTTCTTCTTTTTTTTTCTTTCAGCTTTATATAACTTTGGGTCGGTACTCCAATAGCTCTGTAACTAGACCTCACAGTCTTAAGTTAGTTGCCTTATCTTTTATGCTTCTGCATCGTATGGTATTTTTAATTGTATTATTTCGGGTGTTCGGTAGCCTTTCTATAAATCTTTCTTCATATTCTTTATTTTAATATTATTCTTGTTTTAAATTTTTATTTATATTCTAATGTATTGTTATATATTATATATATTATTATATTATATTTTTGCAATTATTACTATTGTTAGAATTTTAACGTTAAAATATGCAATAAATTAAAATTAATTGAAATTTTTTTTTAAAATTTATTTATATAAAATATCTTTGTAGTGTAATGTGTTGAGTTATACGAGTATATTAATGAACACACATAATTCTTTTGTACTTTAAATTATATAGTTTATATTGCATAATATATGATATATCTATTATATTGGTACATATAATTATTCTTATATAATTATTTTATTTTTAACAAATTTCCATTGATTATAAATATAGTAATTAACAGAAGAAATTTTTAAGTAAAAAATGGTTGGTTATTATTTCTCTATTATATCATAAATAGATTTTTTAAAAGTAAACATTTTCTTCTACGTTAATATCAAATCGTTTGATTTAATACACAAAAACGAATATCATATTTTATTAACTATACTCTTATCATTGTACAGCGTCATACTGATATGAAGGAGCGATAAATGAAAGAATATAATGCAATTTTTTAGAACATGAAATGCAATCCTAAGAATTTTTTGTAAGGAGCTAATAGCAATGGCTCACCCTGTAACACACAGTATATTATGCACTGAGTAACGATAAATTGTGCCTAGAGTTTCACCAATTTTATTAGGTATTGCGCTGGTAACCTGCCACATAAATCGCACCGTCTTCAGTACGCATTTGAACACAAACGAATCTTTGGTATCTGCCGTTTCGATCTCTTTCATCGTATAGCGACAGTTAATTTTATTTAATAATATTATTTTTTTAAAAAAAACTTCTTCAGTCTTAAGACTACTAAAATTTTAAATTTTATCGCGCCATATTTGTTTTTCACTGGAGTTTATTGTTTATGTAATTTTGTTTATATACTTGTTTTTAATTTTAAAATTATTTTTTGCTTTAATATACTATTATATATTTTTATCACAATTAAGTGCTAGAATATTGCTTAGTACACGAAAATTTTCCGCATTAGAAGTTAACAGTTCAACAATATGCAAGAAATTTTTATAATCAGTGACCACAAATATTAAAAAACAAAAAAGAACTACACTTAAGCTACTTTATACACAAATAAATAACACCAAAACCTCTCTAGCGATTGTGTTAGGCTCAGAACCCCTTTCCATACTAGCAACTATATATTCCCGAATTGTTTTTGCCTAAAAAATAATTTGCGCAAATTCGAAAGCGTTTTTTTATCATTTCGCAGTGGAAGCTTTTTTATATTAAATCGCGGCAATTATTATCGGAAAGTGTGAGGCAAGCATGATACGGTCTTATATGTAATCAGTCAGCCCACAATTCAGGGCTGTTTTACTGATCTGAACAGTAAGTAGGTAAAACCATGGGTGAAACGTAAAAATAAAAATATTGTTAATAATAATGATAAGAATGTACATATAGTAATTTTTTTTCTTTAATTTCTAGGAATGAATGAATTTATTCAAAATAAATTCAGGTATGATAATTTTATCAATAATTAATTTGAAAGAAATACAAAAACAATTTAATTCATTAATATACATACGATAAGTTTTATTTTATAATCAAATAAAAAGTAATTTAGTGCAATAGAACTACAACTACTGCTACAACAATAGTATCAATCAATTACCCTTTTAAACATCTAGTATATAAGATATCTTATTTTATGGTATGACAAAAAACAGAAAAAGTATGGGTACCCTATACTTTTATAATATATGTACATACTTATTTGAAAATATTATGCTTGATATCATATATCGTAAGAAAATAATTGTTAATGCTCTAAAACAGCTCTTATAATCGTCAGTATATAGTTGATTATAGTTCTATAGTTCATGCAGAGACCTATAACACGCTTTTAATAATTTTAACACCCTAATTAAGTGGTTGATCCAAACTCCACATCAAAAAACTCCATGAAATCATTTTGTGTAATCATAAAGTTGAGTTTGAAAATACAGATGAAGTCTAAAAGATATTGGAACGACATATAGTTTGAAGGAACATTTGACAATAAGAAAGGAGAATTAAAAGCAGTAATGTAATGTGCTGATAATTACGTGCAATGTTTGAAGCAATAAAAAGTTTTTTTTGTGGTATAACATATGACATTAAATGTAACATGAATCCATTACTACATACCAGAATCATATTATCAGTCAACAAATGAACAATTCGTAAAACACATATAAATCTACCAAATTGCACATATATCAATTGTTTTATTTACATGCCGTCCAGACTTCCAATTGGAGTTATCCTCATGGACCTGTACATTGCCTTTAGGAATGCCCGGACAACAGTGATGTTTGGTCACTGAAACTATTTAATTGTTTTATTTATATGGCGTCAAGACCTCCAATTGGAGTGCCATTACCCTCATGGATTCATATCCACCTTGGTGGTTATAAATACATATCTTCAGTACATCGTTTTTAGCAATACTCGGACAACTGTGATGTTTAGTCACTGGAACTATTTAATAACAACAAAAACATAAACAAATAAATATGCCTACCTACCTAGCTTACCTGCCCCAATATTGGCTGTCGTAATGTACAGAATATTTTACATATTCATCATCATCGTTTCTTTAGAGAAAAGAAGAACAATCAATCGTGAATATTATATGGCGTTGATAAACGCGATTAAAGAATTGAGTTGCAATAAATCAATCTCAAATGAAAAAGGATTAAGACAATCCATGACGTCGCTAGTTGATCACAACAATGTTAAAAGATTTAACAAGAATATCTTAAGCAAAGAGATTTAGATCTTAGGAAGAAGTATTATTGAAACTAAAGGATTATGGCAAAAGGTATCGAAACTTACAGCAGTAGTATCAAAATTACAATTCACGAGTTTCATATAGAAGTGTTTGTTATTTAAAAGATCCTATAATTAACCATTGTATTAACTTAGTGGATGGTAATTTGGTCTTAAATACAGACATTAAAAAACAAAAAAAAAATCAATTTATATTATAATATAATGAAATATATGCCGACATTTGTGATTTAAAAATGGAAGCTAGTTAAATAAAAGAAAATAAGGCAATGTTTTTAAGTAAATTTATAAATGACACCCAAAAAAATATAGTAATTAATCAAACGAATAGCAAAGCCTAAATTATTATTAAAAAAATGTTAAACAATTTACAACGTAACAATAAATTGTCGTAGTATTTCAATTTTATTATTAAAGAATTGAACAGGTTGATGATTTAATTTACAGACAAATACAATAAATGAAAAATAAATATCTTTAGAAAAGATATTTTTAGTGCTTATACCATTTTTGGCATTTCAAAAAAAAAAAATTTTAAATAATAAAATAAAGAAAGAGAATTTATATAAACAAGTTATAGAACATTAAAGAATGCCAAAATGTCTATTGCTAAAGTTATAAATAAGCAGCAATAGACAAAGTATCTTTTATGCCTTTTATATACCATTATTAAAAATATTTAATGCTCTAAATAGCTTTTACTTTTTGAAAAAAAACTTCTTGAATTTTTTTTTTTAATAAGATTTTCTAAATTAAGAATGTTTTGTTTAAAGATAGCCAGACAAGTACAAGTAGATGGGGTGACCTAAGAACCTGATGTCATACATGAATACGTAAAATGTTGTATTTGCTTAGTATTCTCAGCCTTAACATTATAGGTGCATTTATTAATGCCTTGCAAATGTTTTATTATGTTTATTCTGAAGGTGACTTGTTTACAAAATATATATAGAAAAATATTCGAAGTTATAAATTATAATCATACTAATCGCAATGGGTATTATAAATTATCAATTACATATACCAAGTAAATCAATAAAAATGCTGAACTTTATTGTGCGAATAGTTTTGCGATCAAAAATAATGAAAGAAAAAATAATTTCTTCATAATATAGTTTCATTTATAAATCAATAATTAAATATAAGAAATATTTCCAAACACTACCGAAGATGGGTGGTGTTAGAAATAGCTATGTGCAGTCAGCTAAGATACAAATATAAAAATTTAATGCTTTTCAAATATCTTTATTATTTTGGCTATTTACCTAGATTTTTAATAGAAAAGAGATAATAGGGAGAAAATGTTTAAATCCATTAAAAATAAAATAAGTTAACAAATACCTTTTTCATATATATTTTTTTTATTGTTTTACTAGAGATTTTAAAATATATATTAATGGTAATGTTAGAGCAGACGAACCCCAGAAGAAAAATTAAACAATAAATAAAAACTTAATGCATTGCTGTTTGTAGTTTTCTTAAAATGTTAAGTTCCTAGTTTTCGAATATAAAGATTATCGTAACATTTGTATGGTGAGCCAAAAATTTAATTAATTAAAATAATATAATAAAAATTCTTGTTGTTGTAGTTCACTAATGTTCGAAAAACCTCTCTATTGAGATTATCTTTATTCTTGTTTTCGTTAGAAATATCTAAGCATTTAAAAATTGTATTTGCTAGTTTTGGGTACTGTTAGCTAGTAGTTTCTCTCTTTACTTATAAAATTAAATAACGTATGTATAAATGAGCTAACTTCAGCATTGACTGGAAGCTTGAGTGAAATGTAGTAGTGTAATTATTGGCTTAGTTACTAATATAAATCCAATATATGACGTTATTAATTTAGTTAAAGATGTTGACAGATATTTTTATGAAATAAACTTTTAATCCACACTTAAAAACAATAAAAAAAAAACCATTGAACTTTCTTTTTTGTTCATCAAAATTTGAAATAAAAATTTAACCTAAGTAAAAATGTTCACAGTTTAAATTAAGAACAAGTTCTTTTATAAATAAACAAACAACTTTCAAGACAGGTTTTTTACGATTAAATTTTGATTACGTCCATTGTTTCATAAAAAAAGAAACATCTTTTATTAATCATTTCTTAAAATTTGTTTTAACAACAACCAATTGCACCCTTATAATATGTTGAAGCTAGCAATAACTTATAATAATATTGGATAAACTCTATTTTGAAGGTCGTTTGAATTTATTATTATCAACGAAATATCTTATTTTGATTTATTCATTCTATACACATACTAATAAAGTCGATATCCAATGGGTTATATATTAACATCCACACGTTTCAATTGCAATAAATCTATCATCCTATCACAACAAGAATTACATGGGGTTTATCACAATTCATATTTATTATAATAAATGACATTTATAATGATATAGGCTTTAACTCTAATGTGCTTTCAGAAAAATACACCTATATTATTTGCTTTTATTTATATTAATTAATTATTTATTAATTAATTAAAATATTAATTATATTATAATTATATATTATATGTATTTAAAATTTAAAATGATGAATTTAATAAACTAATTTTTATAGAATTAACAACTTTTTGTAAATTTTTTGACATATTCAAATACTTAAAAGATTACACATTTTAAATTCTACCATGGAAGCTGTAAAAAATTATGTTACTCATAAATATAAAGTATAATATAAGTAAAATGTGCAATTTAGGAGGTCGTATTAATTTAATTAAATATTAAACTTTAATGAAATTTTCTTTATTATTAAAACAATTTGAACCCTTTTTAATTTTTTAAAAGATATAATTAATTATTAATTAATTTTTTTTAGGTAAAGTTATTACAGAGATTATCTCGGAAAGTGAAACGCCAACGGACAGGATGATTGTAAAGCATAACTTTACAAAAAACTTCAAAACCGAACTTGGGAACAAAAAGAATTGGGAAGGCTTGCCCAAAATCCAAATAATAAAAGGAAACAT